CTCTTACAGCTTTATAAATTGGTTGCATAGACACAGTCCAAACATCACTTCTTACATCACTTCTGCTTAGAACATATCACGAGAATTTTAAAAGGATCTATGACGCATCCTGAAACATCCCAGAGTATTCATCAATCATCAACATCAGCCATACTCATCATCATAAGCAAAAAAATCAACAGAAAGTATTAAACAACCACAAAACCATTACTCCTCCTAACCACGATGACTTATCTACCTGCCACAAGTATCATGTGTATCAATGATTCTAAGTATGCATATTTTGACACTTTTGGACTCAACCATTAACACAAAGCACTCAGATCATTGGCTTAATCAACACAAACTAAGTAACAAAATCTTAAAGAAAACAACATTGGCTTCATATACTAATTACATGACCACAAAACCATTGGCTTAAGGAGGGGTTTCAACACAAAGCACTCAGATCATGATGATGATATAAAAGCAAATACATAAAAAAACTTACATTTAGTATGGAAGTCGACGTCCTCTCGCTATCTCCTCAGTAATGGAATCTCTCATAGCTTCCATAACTCTATCTCCAGCTGGTATATATGCAACATGCTCATCCCCATGATGTACATACTCTTCCACTATTTCCCAATGTGAAAAATCATAATCCTCATGATTTGAATCTCTGATAAAATTGTGGAGAGCCATTGTTGCTGTCACAATCTTCACCCATTTCTTCAGCTCATACTTAGGGTGCTTGCGGTCAAGAGTCCTCCATTTAGCCTTCCATATTCCAAATGTTCTCTCTGTTATTGAATGCAAACCAGAATGCTTTCGGTTGAATAGCTCTCTGCTGTTTGTAGGTGGTCCTCCTCTAACAAACAAATCAAGGTGATATCTAGTTCTAGGGTGAGGTCCTAAGTAACCAGTTCTAGTTGGGTATCCAGAGTCTACTAAATAATACTTTCCAACTGGAGGATGAGGAAAAGAAGCTTCTTTCTTAGCACAATGTGTCAACACTTTTGTATCGTGTGCTCTCCCAGGAACCCCAACATAAGCATATATAAATTTAATATTGAAATTACATATTGCTAAGACATTCATAGTTGCTTCTGCTTTTCTACCTCTGAATGGTTCGGCATTCTCAAAAGGAGGACGGACCGGCACATGAGTTCCATCTAGAGCACCTATGCAATCTTTAAAAAAAGGATAATATTGAGGATCATCTACTAGAATAGGACTAGTACTTGCAAACTCATCCCTTCCAGGTTTCACAATGTCTGCTGCGAGTTTCAACAAAGAACTTAAAACCTCATCTAATTTCCTTTTCACTGTGTCAAGTGAATGCTGGTATCTCTCAGCTAAAGCTCGTGCAGTTAAATCTTGTCCAACCATCTCTAAGAACATTGCAACACTCTCCTCTAGGTAAATATGGCAAGACTCTACTAGCTGATACTTCTCTGATAGTATCTTACCTAAACTCTTAAACGTTGCTTGGTTCATGCGAAGAATATCATAGCATTGTACCTCAGATTCGTTCATGAGACGTTTCACACGGCGCCAACCTCCACCTGGGTTTGTTTTCCCTAACTGTTTGTTAGTATTTATTTCTGCCACTCCATACGTTTCTTCTACAAGAGCAAACATGTGATTCTCCTCATCTAGTATCAAATCCATGTCATCATCTTCAACTAAGAACCTAAACGTGTCCTGAAACCACATACAACATTCAACCATCAGACAGAAAACATTAATATAAACTAAAAGAGCTTAAGACAGTCTCTGATTCTAAATTAAAAGGAATCTGTCTAGTTTCTGAGAAAAGCAAAAACATGGAGAAAGAGAGACATGATCTTCCTATCATACTCTGTCTTGATTTCTCACTATAACATCACACAAACAAACCGAAATAACAGTACAATATTCTGCGAATACAACCTTTAGAGAAAAGAGACTGAGACTGAGAGAAAAGAGTAAACATACTTTACTATTCATCATTGTATCTTGGAGACTTTAAGCTAGAAGTGTAAGAGCTGCTTGTAGGATCTACTTATCCACTAGAGTTTCATTCACTTCAAAATAAAAATAAACACACATTTTAGCAAAGTGAAACTCATATAAATATTGTCATAAACATAGTCATTAAAACAAGATTCATTCTAGAGTTTATACTAAACTAAAACAAAGACATAAACATAAACAGCTCCTCATGCATCTCTGCTTTCTCCAGTTGCATATTCCAAGTAGAGAACCCTGTTCTCATCATCTCCATAGAACAAGAAGGTCTGGCGATTTGCAGCATCTTGTTTGAGGTGGTTAATGGAGGCCTTGTATAGAGGAGACCACATCCTTATAGCAGGCAGAGAGTGAAGAACCTCCATAGCTCGCAGTTGATTGCAAGTAAACTCAGGATGGTTTTCTATCAAATGATTCTTGTGAGAAAGAATCTTGTCTCTAGACTCAACACTCTCCCTAATCACATCAGCCACAGCTTGTCCTGCTTGTACAGACCTTGATCTTTTCTTATTAACCTTTGACCTAGAAGAAGAGGGGCCAACATTCTTTGATCCAACATTCCCTGATTCAGATGCGACATCAGTTTCTTGAGTAGGGACACCACGCCTTGATTCATTTCTAACAGCTTCTTGAGTAGGGACATCACGCCTTGATTCAGCATCATCTTCATCATCATGATATGTGTGCTTTGTGTCTAAAACCTCTTCACCTTGCTGAGCAGACCAGCCTTCACCTCCACTAATATAAACTGTCCCAAATACCTTCTCCATCAAATCCATGTTTGCTATCGGCTTTTCTTTAAATTTTCTAGCACCAGGCCACTCCTGAAACAAGAAAATTCAAAGTGAGAACAACAAAATAGTCAGGGATATTAAGTTGAAAATTATCTTATATAAATCTGTTAAAACAGAATCATCATCAAATCATTATTTTCCAACAACACAATCAAAACTGAACAAGTAAAGTTAAAAGGATCATAGAACTTGTACCTTGCATCGCTCATTCCACCAATCCTCACTCATGTCGATGGATTCAGTTGAAGTAAAACCAAGCCCCGTTCTGTTCCGAGTCAACTTCTTAAAAGAGTCGTATTGCCTCTTGCAAGTATTATACTTTATCCCAAATTTTCTCCATGGAATTTTTATACCAAATGCCTCATAGAACTTATCCATGATCACCTGTCTCCCAGCCTCATTAACCATCTGCTTTCTTATGTTTCCTTTCAGACTCTCATCAAGTCTTAGTTGAAGAAAGAACCGTGTTGCTCGTCACTCCATATAAGATTCTTATTTGAAAATTCAACATAATAAGAAATTTTTTTGACAAAATCGAAATCAACTAAGAGAGTAAGATACTCACATCAGAACCAGGGATGGATGTCACTGTTTAATAGAATGAGAAAGCTTCTTCTTGCACCTGCTAGACACCAAAATAGAGATGGGACACATGACACCATTAAACAATGTTGGCAAACACCAAAGTATAGACTTATAAACTACAGACTTGAAGAAGAACAATCTACGGATGCAAACAAAACCCAGAACATAACTTATAGGATATAAACTATAGAAGAAAACATAAGAAACAAACCAGCTGAGACACTCACATTATATAAGTTTAAAATAAGCGAACCAATACTTGTTTTGCAATACTGACTATAAGTTTAATGAAAAAACAAACCACACAGAACAGAGGCAAGTTTGCTGCAAAAATGCAATTGTTTCCTATCTTAAGAACTCACACCACGGAATCAAACACTTGCTTTGTTTCCTATCAAGTGATGAAGAAACAAACCAGCTGCAACACTCACGTTCAAGCTCTCCACAGCTAGAAAAGATCTCAATCCAAATGAAACATTAACCGCTATCCCCCAAATTTTCATAATCATAAACCCTAAAATTTGTAAAAGAAAATGTTTTTACAGAAATCTTTACTAAACTGCTTACGACCCCTCAAAATCTAAGTGACATAACACCAAGTAAAGCATCAAACTTCAACCTCAAAACAAGCAAAGAAACTCATCCCCATCCTCAAACTATGTAGTAGCTGCAACATAGCTAGCCATATTACCGCTAAACGATTCCAAACAAAACAAAACAAAAAACCCACAAAATTTAGATCTCAGAGAGAGAGAGAGGTCGCCGTAGTGAGAGAGAGAGGTCGCCGGAGTGAGAGAGAGAACCTGAGAGAGAGAGAGAACCTGAGAGAGAGAGAGAGAGAGAGAGAGAGAGAGAGAGAGAGAGAGAGAGAGAGAGAGAGAGAACCTGAGCGAGAGGGAGAGGTTGCCGGAGGGAGAGTTCGCCGGAGTGAGAGAGAGAACTTGAGAGAGAGAGAGAGAGAGAGAGAGAGAGAGAACCTGAGAGATAGAGAGAATCTGAGAGAGAAAGAAGAGAGAACCTGAGCGATAGGGAGAGGGAGAGGTCGCCGGAGAGAGCCGGAGGGAGAGGTCGCCGGAGGTCGCCGGAGAGAGAGAGAACCTGAGAGAGAGAGAACGCCGCCAAGAGAGAGAGAGAACGTGAGAGATGAGAGTTAGATTCTTGGTTTTAGGTTTATGTGTGGCAGGGTCATTTTCGTCATTAACTTTTTTGACTGAATCAGGTGCAGCTAGATGTATGGTGAAGACTCAGTCGATTTTTTTAAAAAAAATCAGCTGAGTTTTAGAAACTCACCCAACTGATCCATCTGAATGTACCGATTAATTACACTAAACGAATATCAATATTCACCTTCACCCAGATGGATTAGTCGACTGAGGAAACGAACATGCCCAAGGTGTATTTTTTAAGCAGAAAATGAAGTCAACTATTGGAGTCGTGGCTAAATTTAAAAAAGTTACAAAAAAAAAGTTAAAGAAAGTGGTTACACGTTGGTGGGCCATCTGTCGATATCAAGAGGTTCATCGATACACCTTTACGCCATACGGACACAACTTGCCGTTCACAGCCGCTTATTACCAACATTCAACTCATAATCCAATAAACAAAGCACTTAAAAATCAAACAATAATTAAGGGTATAATAGTAAAATGGAAAAGGATGGCTTTTGGTTTATGTCGGCTATTAACTAAAGGATAATGGAGAAGAAAAGGGTGGCGGCGAAGCCACAATAGGTTAGCAGCCTAACCTGACATCATTATATATTTATTATTTTTTACTTCTTAAACAGTCTCCTCTATATATGTGGAATAGACGTGACTCGTAAAGTAAGCTATAGGGTTGATGGAGATTGAATACAAACAAAAACTAGACTTTCCGATGGAGAAAAAAGGACAGAAGTGGAATCCGATGAGTCCAAAGGAAAAGCGATATAGAGGGATAAGGATGAGGAAGTGGGGAAAATGGGTGGCTGAGATAAGAGAGCCCAACAAGCGATCACGGATCTGGCTTGGTTCCTACAAAACCGCATTTGCTGCGGCACGCGCTTACGACACAGCCGCGTTTTACTTACGTGGTCCCTTGGCGAGGCTCAATTTTCCCGAACAAGTCTTGCGGGACAGAAACGCCGTTGCCGGCGTTGGTGGAGACATGTCTGCTACGTTTATACGGCAGAAGGCGGCAGAGGTGGGAGCTAGAGTCGACGCGGAGCTTCGAACGGAGAGTTCTGTATCAGTGGACAGACCAGAAAAGAATAAGTTGCCGGAGGCTGGGAGAGTCTGAAAAGCAAAATGGATTGTAATTTGTATGTAGTTGGTAGTTTACATGTTGGGTATGTTCGGTGACAGAGTCAAAACAGAGGTTTTTATATATCTTGCTCTGAGCCTCTGCCATAGGTATGGAAATAAAATGTTTACAAACGTTGTCGCTCTGCTTAATAGTGGATTCGTCATTTCTCCATTTTTAATATTCAAGCTACCTAAAATTATGAAATTACTCGTTTAATAGTGTGTTACGTTTGTTTCAGATTTGTTGCACTCGTTATATTATTAAAACATAAAGAATACATTTAGATGGTACAACGTTAAACCTAACTCACTGTATAAATCCTGTCCTTGAAATATCTCTATAATCAGAAATACATTTAGATGATATTTCATGCAAGTACATAGGGTCTAAATATCTCTTATTCTTGTTAGTTTTTTTCACAGCTTTGGGTTGTGATTGTGAGTTCTGCAGGATCTCTCCTAGTCTCCTTGTAGGATTTATGATATGAATCTGACCAAGTCCATGGTTGAAGAAGTTTTACTTGTGCTAGATGTACCAATGACTCGTGCTAAGACAAAGCGGTTCAAGGAGGTTTTATTTGGGTTTGTGCAAAACATGGAAAATCAAATACATAAAAGATCAATTAGTACAAGAGGAAGATGTGTTCATTTGTGTTCAGGTAGAACAACCGTCGAGCAAGCTGAAAATCAAGGACGAGATGGATGAGCTCATCAGAACGGAATCAGACGAGCTCCACAGGTCGTGATAGGACGAGCTCTTAAGGTCGGGTTAGGCCGACCTGGTTGGACGAGCTCATCAGGTCGAGAATGAACATGGACGAGTGTAGGCGAAGGGTCGAACAACGTGTTGACCAACCAGCAAAACTACCGAACTTTTTCTCGTCTTTCAAACTTCTTGTCAAGATGCTTCATTCTTTGCTTGGTTTTTCCACAATCTAGAAACTATATGTTTGATTACTCTTTCTGATAATCGCATAGAGATGCATGACATGTTGCAGACTATGGGCAAGGAGATTACCTAATAAGAGACTTTGGGTGGCTATCACTAGAGAGGTTAATATGGGGCTCAACTTAATAGGATTAACTCTAACCATGTAAAAAAAATTCTTTTAGCCCTAGCTATTATTGTAGAAACATGGCTTAAACAATGGTTAGGCCAATGATGTACATGGTTTAAATTTTAGCTCATTTATTTTGATTCATACAATTATTATATAAAGTTTGAATATATATAAAATTTAAATTTTTCAAAATAAAATTTTCTTTGAAAATACTTTCGCTAAAATTAAAAATATTTTTTTTCACCAACACACATAATCAAATTTTCTCTTCAAAATTGAAAATCGAGTTCTCTCTTCGAAGTCGAAGTTTTAAGTTTTTCTTCAAAATTGTAAAATCGAGTTTTTTCTCCAAAATCAAAAAATCAAGATTTTTTAGCCGAACTAACAAAAAATGAAATTTCATCACCAAAACTGAAAAAAATTGAATTTTTTCTATAAAACCACAAAATCGAGTCTCCCGTCAAAAATTGATGTGCTTTTGATATTAGTGGCCTATCTTTGCTGCAGTCTTTATGCTTAAGTGGAAACTACATCGAGAATCTGCTAGAGAGATTCAACCAGCTTCACAATTTGAAATGGTCTGATCTAAAGTAGTGCAAAATACTCAAGTTTCTACTAGCCCTTCCACAAAATCTGCATATCTGGATGCACTTTAATGCCATTCACTTGAAACTCTGGCAATTTCAGACTCCTTTGACGGTAGGAAAGAATGTTCTTATTTACCAACTATCACAAGCTTAACCAAGACGCACAAGAGAGTCTTGTAGATCATGCTCGAATCAAAAATCAATGAAACGTTATTACCGGATAATCGTCTCCTTTTTTCTGATACTAAGAGGTTATGGGCCGAAACATGTAATCCCCTTGGCTCAAAGCCACAACATGAATGTATCCTCTTCACCTTCCACAAAATGTATGTCTCCTATTTCAAAATGCTCTATTTTTTTATAGAGATTCGTTCCAGTGCCTATGGTTGGAATCTGTTACCCGGCCACTGATATAACAAGCTGATTCTGCCACCAAAGACTAGGACATTTATTAGACATCCCACTAACCCTGCATTGGTTTGACAGTAACTTTGCTAGACTTGCCTTATCTGTAGTTGTCTCATTTAAAGACTATGAAGACCATGCGAAACTTTTCTCTGTAAAGTGCTGCGGAAATTTTGAGAACCAAAACAGTTTCTTCACAAGATTTGACTTCACTCTAAATCGTGTGATCGCTTAGCCATGAACCAAGAAAGCATACTTCTGACCATGTTTTCATGGGATGCAACCATTGCTTCCACGTCAAGAAACTCCATGGAAAGAGTAGCAGTTGCTGTTACACCAAGGCTCAAATCTCTAGAAACAAAGAATTATAAAACAACTTTTCTTATTAGCTTTAGAAAATACTCAAAACTAAAGCTCACAATGTTTTTCTTAGATCTCTTATGGAACACCTCTCCATAAGGTCTATATTTATAGTGAAAGATAATTCCCTTAAACATGTGGGATATGGAAAACACAAACTAATCTAATAGAAAACTTCCTTTTCCTATTTCTAGATTTCCTTATTGTGTTTATCCTTAACATATTAAACATCCAATAATATGTTAAGTTTCCACAAGCTTGGAATTNCTTATGGAACACCTCTCCATAAGGTCTATATTTATAGTGAAAGATAATTCCCTTAAACATGTGGGATATGGAAAACACAAACTAATCTAATAGAAAACTTCCTTTTCCTATTTCTAGATTTCCTTATTGTGTTTATCCTTAACATATTAAACATCCAATAATATGTTAAGTTTCCACAAGCTTGGAATTACCCAACAAAGGCTTTGTTCGATTTCTATGCGACGGATGATAGAACGAAGAAGCAGCTTGAGACTTGTAGGGTGGTCAAATGTAAGATGAGTTTAGTGTATGTTGATGATGATAATTGTATGTTGTTGAAGAAGACAAATATGGTTCAGTTGAGTTTGAAGACCGGACCAAGCTGTTCCAACTGTCTTGATGATGTCATTGTCATGGATGAGATCAGACTCAAGAGAGGATGATGCTAAGTTAGCGGTGGTGAATGTAATGAAGAAGCAGATTGTAAGAGAATGAAGGAGGAGAAGATTTTGGTGTGATGAAAATTTATAATTCAGATATCTAATGTGTATTTATTTAGTGTAAGCAAGTAGTCAAATATAAGTCTTGTATTTGTAATTTTGTATGTTGACTATTAATTTCAAATCAGCCAGTTTTTTTTTTATTAATTGCAAGAAAAAAACACGAATAGGTTTTAAAATATCAAAGTTTAGTTTTAGTTGATGTAAATACAACAATAAAAGAGTAGAAGGTACTTTAATCTACTTTCAGTTAGAATATTTTTTGTAAAGAGGTTACAGTGAGGCTATTGCATAATAAAAAATATAAAAAAAGATAAAATAGATAATTTTTGATTGATAAAACAGTTTATATAACACACAAAAATAAAACGAAAGAAGGAGAATTTTGTCAAATTAACAACACTTAATATAGTGAAAACTCATGACAAAAATAGAATATAAAAAAATGAAAAATACCAAATTTTTGTTTTGATTTCATTCCCTAAATACTAAATCATAAACACTAGTCATTAAACTCAAACCTAAATACAAAATTAAAATAATAAGATTTTTAATTAATAATATATTGGAAACTTTTTTCTATGCTAGATTTAGAAAAAAATATTTTGTAATATGTGAGGCCATTTCTATTTTTAAATAAATTGATTTAATTTAAAATAAAAATTAAACTTATTAAATAATTAAATTAGTTTAAACATTAATACTTTTATTTGAAATATTCTTCGACATGCTATGTGGACTGGGAAATTCTAAATAGCGGTCCACACGAAAACGGGATGTCGGCCAGAGTGGACTATGCGCTGGTGGCAGGATATATGGATGGATGGTCTAAAAAACAACCGTGGTGAAACACGCGCCAAACTAACAAAAGAAGAAACTTCTCCCACAGTTCACGAAATAACCACACAAATATACTTTTAAAATCACCATCACCAAAGTAGCGTGTTAATTGCCATCACAAATTTAAACCAGTACTCTTTTTATCATACCTTGATAACATCAACCTCAAAAATTATTTGATTAGCTGGATATTTTATTGTTTTTATTGAGACGGTCGGTTAGATATTTTATTTATATTTTTGGTTTGAAAATGGAATAAAATAACTTAAAAGAAAGTAACAACTAAACGGACTAGATTATTAATAAATATAAATTAAAAATAATGGAACAAGCGTCAAGCAAATGATACAACAAGAAATCTAAAAGGGAGGAAGAAGAAGATGACTTATCGCGAGGAAGACGATGCAGTTCCTGAACTGTGTATGAGAGTTGAAGAAGATGGAATTGAGAAAGTAGGTCACTACGTTAAACTTAGTGAATCATCGGAGAGAGAAGCAGAGCAGGGAGAGCAACAAGATTCATCACCTTCTTCTTCTTCTTGTGGAGGGAAAAGATCTATTTGGTTCTGGATCAAGCTTGCTCTTCTCCTCGCCTTTCTATCTGCTTTGGCTCTCGCTGTTTACAAATGGCTCGTTCCTTTAATCATGGATAAGGTTCGATTCTTCCTTCATCTTAAAACATAACTCACTGCATGTTGCTCTTGTGCTGTTTAATTCTTTATCAGTTGAGCTTGATTAGGGTTTAAACACTAAGTACTGGACACAAGTTTGTATGATACAACTGTTCCTGTAAAGTTGAAATTAGGTTCCTCTGTAAGATTCTTTCTTGTGACTTTGAACTCTGTATAGCTGCAACTTGATCAGTTTCTTATACAGTGAAAGTTTAGCAGAACAGGGTTTTATAGATAATTTTCAATGGTTGGCTGTTTTGTGTTAATGGATTCAATCAGTAACAATCTTTAGCTCTGTTACTAATCATGGCAGTATCATTTTTTCAACCATGTTGTTGGCAGGAGCTTATCCCTATCATAAAATGGGAGTTGAAGACATTCACACACCCTGTGTTAGGTCTTCTTGTATTCACAACCGTGGCACTACTCCCTGTAATACTTTTTCCGTCACTACCGTCAATGTGGGTGGCTGGGATTACATTTGGTTTTGGATATGGCCTTCTCCTCACTTACCCAGCTATAGCTATTGGTGTATCTCTTCCTTACTTCATCAGCTATCTCTTCTGTGACAAAATCCAAGTATGTGTCTCATTGTGTCCTCAATAACAACTATTAGATTTTTGTTTTTTAACAATCTCTTACTCACTTGTTTGATCCAAATTACATGATGATATCACATACGATTCGATAAAAATGCTTCCTCATTTACCCACCTAGCATGACTCTATACATGTTGATCATGTCCCTCAATTCAATCAGCTATGAAATTTCAAAACACTTTGTGTTTTCTCTGAGAATACAATTCAAAAGCGCTCAATGCTAGACTCCTAGTTAAAAGCAAATTATATATCACACTATCTTTTCCTATTGTCCAAAATATTATTTCCTAAATTGTAGCAACATTAAGATCTTCCCATTTTTGATTTATGAGCTTTTTGTTAGCTTGTCACACATGTTTTGAAGACATTTTTTCGTTCTTCCAAAGTGTGTGTTATGGCATACATTAACCAAAATTCTATCACTGCACCAACCTATCAAGCTCCTATTTCTTGAGCTCATCTTTTTACTAGAACTAAAATTATGTTTTGCAGGGTTGGTTAGAAAGATATCCGGACCAAGCTGCAATGTTGAGAGCTGCTGGTGGAGGCACTTGGTTTCACCAGTTTCGAGCAGTAACGTTAATCCGGATTTCACCATTTCCTTACGTTGTTTATAACTACTGCGCTGTTGCGACTGGTGTGAAGTACGGTCCTTACATGGCTGGTTCTCTCTTGGGAATGGTGCCAGAGAATGTTGTAGCTATTTATACGTGAGTTTGCGACAATGCCTGTGCAGTTTTTGCTGATGGTTGATGATTTAGTTTAGTGTTCTGAGAGTTTGTTTTGGTGTGTGTTTTCAGAGGGACTCTTATAAGGAAATTGGTAGATGCATCCACTGAGGAACAAAAGGGGATGTCGGTTCTTCAGATTGTTCTCAACATTTTTGGGTTTGTAGCTACTGTGTTGACAACGGTTCTGATCATGAAGTATGCGAAAAGACAGCTTGAAGTTATGAAGAAGGAAGAGGAAGCTTTGTTGTTGCAGTAATGATGGCAACAACCTTGGAAGCTTTTGTGTCTGCTTCTTCTTCCCAACATACATCCAAGTTGTGAAAGAACTTTGGTTGTTTGGTCTTTGGTTCTTTCACTTCTTTTTGTTTAATAGATAAATATATATATCTAATTAACACAGAATATTTAAAGTTCTAACACGATCTAATGTTGTATATGTTTTGTGTTATTTTTTCTTCTCTTTTTCGATGTTTGAAAAAGTATAAATTGGAGAAAATTGCTTATTTGAACCATTGATTATTTGTTTATAAAAAGAAAAATGAATGTTCAGTAAGTTTAACAGCATAATGCATTTTACTTCATAGGTGACAACTTTAAAGATATTTTCTTGGAGAGTAACTCCAAATGCCCTTATGGGAAAAATTTCATTCTCCTTATCCCCTCTCTATTCCCATTACCCCTTTCTATTTGGATTTCCTATATTAACCCTTATTTTTTTAATATATTTATATTTCTTTTCCTATTAATTTTTGAATTTTCAATTAAATATACCCACAACAACCAAATGGGGTCTACAAACAACCTTAAC